CCGGGTAGACCTGTCCCCCGCTGGCCAGCCGACCTCCCAAGGTGGGGAGGGAGATGCCGTTCCCGTCGGGCTCCGTGGCACTGCTCCCCGCCTGGAGGCGGCAGACTGGTGGCGAGGAGCAACCCTGGCCCGCCTGGGGACCGGGACGGGTCTAACGATGCTGGGAGGAGCCCTGCCCCCGCGGCGAGGGCAGCAGGGCTGGCCAGGGCGCGGGGGAACTGCTCACCGGGCGGGCTTGCCCTTCACTACCAGCATCTGCCCGAATTCGTAGGCGGCGAACCTTGGCGAGGCGGCCACGCTCGCGCGCAGGGCGTCGATGGCCTTCTGGCCAGACTCGGCCTGGTACTGATAGGGGAACCCGTACTTCACGTAGCGCAGCGGCGGCTGCCCCTTAAAGGGGGTGAGGTCCACGCAGACGACGGCGTCCTCGCTGAGCATCCCTGGGGTGCTCCACAGCTGGTCGAAGTACTGCTCCATGCACTCCTTGTCGGCATCCACCACGACGAAATCGAAAGGCTGGCACCTCCCGGCCGCGGCCGCCTCCGCGAGCTCCCGCAGGGATGCCACTGCGGGGCCCACCATGTGCTTGACCTCTTGGTAGGGGATGAGAAAAGTCTGCACATAAACATAAACTTTTGGAGGTCCGCGCGGGTGTCTTCGTTCTGCGCTGAACCCCCCTCCCTGGCGCGCGGAGCGCGCTGGGGGCGGCGCCGCAGGCGCCGCCCAGGGGGGTCCAGCGCAGATCCAAGAAATCCGCGAGGAGCTCCGCAAGTTTCTGTGTAGGCCGTTGCATCTTCGTCGATGACCTTGTGGCCGCTGGGGCTGCGCGCCTGAAAGCGCTTGGCAAAGCTCGCCGCGTACTCGTCCAGCTCCAGTGCGAGCACCTCGCCCCCTGTAGGCAGCACCTCGGCCAGCGCCAGCGCCGCGGCCCCGCAGAAGCTGCCGATCTCCAGCACGCGCTCGGCCCTCGAGGCGGACGCCATCGCCTGCAGCATCGCGCACCTCTCCGGGCTCGCCGACCACTCGGCCTGGAGGCCTCCCAAATGGGGTCCGAGTATAGGTGGGGTCGGAGAATCGCGCCGCATCGACGATACATCGGCAATACGCACCGGCTTTGCGTCGTCGACGCCGGCGATGCATCGACGGCGTCCACGCGAAGAGGCTCTGGATCCACACGGCGCCGCCTCGCCGATGCATCGGCGATGCGGAGCGATGCTTCGACATCCCATCTGCTCGGACC